GTTATAAAAACGCGAGTATTAAAATGGACGTACGGTGTAAAAAACCACCGTGATTGGGTACATGATTTCAAATACAATTTTTCATATAAAAGCTATTAAAATAAATAATAATGCTATTCTTTTTTTATAAAAACAAGGTGACCCGCCATCACGTAATACGCGAGGGTTAATATACGTATTTCAATCAATAGCAACGAAAGGTGATGAAGTATTTATGGAACAAAAATTTAGGCATAAAATATTCTCAATACCTGGCCAAGATATTATGGATATTGAAATCTACTGTACGAAAAAAAATGGTGCAGTATATTGTGACGAACGTGAAATGGTATATTTAGGCAAAGTTAACGTTCAATTATTCGATAATCCCTTGGGCCCTCTATGTATTTCAATATGTTTTGGTCAAATGGAGTTGATTGCTATCGTTACAAATGAGGCAAATGGGTATATGTATAAGAAAGCTTTTAATTTTTATGTCGATTTGTAATTAACTCGTTCCCATATTATATATGAATTTTCATTACCCCTCCTGCACAATTTTGCTTATTTCTTTTTGGACCCCTTTTGTCCTTTTTTTTTTATCAAATTGACGTAGATATAAATAATTATCCAAGGCTTTGTGTAAAAATTTTAACTTTGGGAACGCTAATTGATGAACATTATTGTATTTCTATTCAAAGAAATTAATTACTTGCTTAATAAAATTTGAACTTGCTATTTTGTTTCAAAGTAATCCAATTACTAAACGATAATTATAACTAAACATTTTAATGATAACCTTTTTTTTTACTTTTTTTTTGGGAATGTGTATGGGTGACTTATAATTCTAGTAATTTTTAATACAAGTTGAACTGCATACATTCCTTAAGAGGACAATCCTTTTATATTTAATTAATGCAACATTATCTTTAATTTCATTCGGGTATTACACAAACCTGTACAGTACAGTTAGCAATGTATGTATTGAACGGTTTTTTTCTTGAATGTATGTATGGTATGTATGCTTTAAAAACTATACATGTATGGTTTTTTCATAACAAGTAGTCTATACTTGGTATGGTTTCTAATACTGTACATATATATGAAAAAAAAAACCATACAATACATATATTGCTAACCGTACTGTACAGGTTTGCTATATACCCATTTCATTCTCGGGTTTTTTTTTTCGATGAAAAAGATCGTCAAAATCGTCTTTTTTTTTCCTTTCATACTTAACTTTCCGCAAATTGGAAATCCAAAATGTGATGCAGATTGCGGACCTGTATTTGGTTAGGCAGAAAAAGTTTCCCCCTTTCCATTCGGCGCCACCCAATACGGAAATACGAAACGCATTTAAATCAGGATTTGAAATTCAGTCATGTTTAATTAGTTGGTTAGTAAGAGGCATATTAAACGTTATGAAAGCGAACATTTTAGCGTTTTTCAAAAGATCGGAATTAGGTCACACGGTGTTGTGAAAAAAATCGGAAGCTTTCGCGTTAAAAATCCTTTTCTCATCTTGATATTAAAAGAAATCGTTCATGAGGTAAATTTACATTCAAGGTGTATGAGATGCGTGAATTTCGGTTTATCTAATATGAAATCACTTGGCTAATAAAGTCTATTATTATATTTATAAATTCAGCTCGAAGGTTGATTTCATAATAACATCATTCGTTTTTATGGGGTGATAACTTACAATCGAGGTATAAAAGGATGATGTTTCATTATTATTGACGAAGTAATTTAAAATAATAATAATAATAATAAATTTTTTTTTTCAATTTTTTTTTTTGATTAGATAATCGGGCCAAAGGAATATTGACGAGTGATGGAATATGCGGATGGTGGCATCCTTCAATCATATTTGAAGAAAAAATTTTGATAAGCTTGGAAAGGCAAATTCAGTTTAGCATACCAACTGGCTTGCGCTGTATTATGTCTAACGCAATGAAGGAATCGAAGTCTCCACAAAGCAACATTCAAAAGTGTTCGGTGTAGTTCCTTATATTCATCCAAGTATGTTTATAGACGAAAATAATAATTCAAAGCAATCATCCAGGCTAAACGATCAGAGCGATGTTTACATTTTTGGAATACTTTTATTGATATCAAGTGGTCTTCCTCCTTTCTATACTGATGCTGAATCATACAATGATGATTTGGCTCTGGAAATTTCACAGGGACTTTTAGAAATAACCATTCGTACACCCAAGAATTTACACCGGTAAAATATATCATTTAATTTAAAGTTTAAAAAAGTGAGATCTGTCACTCATAACCGTTATCATGTAGAGTGTTGGGATAATGAACCGGATAATCGCCCAACCATGAATCAAGTAGCCACGAGGTTAAAACCAATGATTTAGACGCAAATATCATCACGGATGATTAAAAACAACATTGGTTTATCAAGTGTCCTACAAAAGTCAAATGATGTTGATGTTTCCTCAAATATAAAAATTCATTACATGGAGATTATCTCATGTCATGCAAAATTTTCATCAGATGAATACCAATGAAATAATAGAATTTTCAATGACATTAAATGAGAACGAACGATTTATTAACAAGATCATTATATTTGAAAAACTATTAAGCGAGTTGGTCAGCAAATTAAATAATGTTCTTCTCGAGGAGATGAATGATGGGATCGACCTAACGATAAGGAATCAACATATTTTAGATTGCCTTGGTACCCAAAACATTACCAAGAGATGGTCAAACTATCAAGATAAACTTTATTTCTTTTACTCAATATCCAATTGTTATCACGTGACAAATGGAAACAATGAAAAGACATTTACGTTATTTTTAATGCCTCAGAAAGAAATCACTTGGCACATTATATGGTGGGATTTGTTACGAATTTGGACATGGTACCATGAAAGATGAACAATTGGCCTTTAATCATATCAAAAGGTGCTGATGAAGGTCACGCTGCAGGACAATTACGTGTCGATGTTTCGTTCAGCAATCGGATAGGAATTGATAAAGATCTAAAATGGCCGTCTATTGTGATGAGAAAGCGACAAGTTCGGATCAGAGCCTAGGACTTTGGAGAAGGTGTTGAAATCGATAATTATAAAAGCTTTTGAATTATTTTAAAAGATCGGCTAGAGAAGGCATACTTGGACGCAGTATTGTCATGGACATTGTTGGGACATTGGGACTTAATGTGGGACATTCTCAAAATGATTGGACATGGAAAATGAACATCACTGCTTTTGTCGGAATGACGATGTTAGGATATTGCTATCATAATGGGATTGGAACTAGTACAGATCAGGAAAAGGCATTGGAATTATTTCAAACTTGGAAAATGGAAGAACTCAATGCTAACTTGCCCAATGTATGAACATGGAATTGAAGTTGAAGAAGACATGGCAGTTATCGATATGAAAGATCTGCTGATAAAGGATTTCAAATTACTCAATATAAACTTGCACTTGCATATGAATATGGCGGTGAAATTTATAAAGCAATTTATTGGTTTGACAAGTGTGCGGAACAAGGAAATTAATACATTTAAATCGAACTTGCTTTAAAGTATTAGAATGGAAATTAGAATTGATAAAGATATAGATAAAGCAATTTAATGGTATAACAAATCTGCCGAACAAGGACAAAATTACTCCCAATACAAACTTGCCCTTATTTATAAACATGAAGAAATTGACAAAATGAGCAAATATTGGTAAGATCTTCCAATTAAGCATATCCAAGTGCTCAATATATCTGGCGAAACAGGGATGAAGCTCATAAGACATAAATAAGGGATTCTTGGGTATAAAAAATATGCGTAAAGTAAAATGACAAAAAAATTTTACAAAACTAATACATTTATTTCAATACCATTCATCTTATAAGTAATAAAAAAGATTAAATTATTTTATATTGTTTGAAACATTCATCTTTATAGAAGGTTATTTAAATATTTTAAAGAAAAAAATACAGTTTACGTTTTCCTTAGTGATATGAACTATTTTTTAAGTTATAATTCAAGAATCGTAAATCAACCTAATAAAAGAAAAAAAAGGATAAAATAAAGACCCCATAATATTCTCTTCATTCTTTGGTATCTGCCGAAAACTTCATACAATTACTAATGGTGATTTTCAAAAAAAAAAAAAAAAAAAAAAATCCGGCGTTAATAAAAGTTGAACTTTGACATAAAATTTTTATACATAATCAAAAGCTTTATTTTTCTAAATAATAATTAAATCTTTAATTTACACGAAAAATCTTCACATCAAATCGTTTTTTTCTTTTCGTATGGTTAATTTATTTCAATTATTCATATTTTTTTGTGGATCTTCGGCTTGAATAGCTAGATTTGTTTTATTTGCCAATTTGCTTGCTCGTCTCTCCTCCGCTATAGTAACGAGCTTGTTCCATATTCGATCTTTTCTAACTTGAATATCAACTTCGGGAGGCAATGCCAGAAAATCAGGGATCTTTACAGGTTGCCCATCTACGGCATGTGAAAACAACTCATTGATTTGAACGCATTCCTCGCATCGAGGTCCTTTTGCGTCAGCCCATTTCATAAATAATTCAACACATTGAGCGATGCCAACGTTGGAATAGCTAGCAAAATTCCTGATTAAGTCGGTTCGTTCGATGTTTTGACAGGCGATTTCCTCGTGTCCAGGATAATCGTACGATTCAACGGTTTCCCGAGGCATGAGTTCCGGATCCCAACATACAAAAAACTTGTCACCATCCAGATCACCCCCAGCAGATCGGTGGGCAGCGGGAACTTCTCCGTTCAAGGAAAACAACAGTACATCGACAATCTGCTCACATTCAGGAAGATTCACCGCCTGTAGGACCAATATATCACCGGGATGATAACATGGATTGCGAACGCAAAAAATAGGCCCGACAATGGTTTTCGGTTGGTTTCGAATGGTTGGTCTAAAGAAGCACTGGTTCTTCTGCAACTTATTAGTAGGATCCGAGGCCACGAACGCAATTCGGGAATCCTTCACTAAGATTCGTAATTTTTCCGATTCAACGGCACCGAGACGACCTTTCTTGACCTTCAAGGAGGTTCCCATCTCGTGCTTGTACAATTTATTTACGTATTGAAGTACTTTTTCCGTAAAACCGTTTTCGATTAGGTCGCACGCGAGAGCAACATTCTCCGCGTTCAAGATATCTTCAAGTGCGATGGACAATTCCGTAAACATTGAATCCAAACGGGAAAAGTACTGGACCTGTTTATGCAAGAATGCATCATCGGGAACTCCAAGAGAAGATAGAAGCATGACTATTTGAGTATTAAGTCGTCCGAACGTGTACGGTTTGGAATAATCCACGACATAAAAATCATTTGGACCGTTGCAAGTGAATTTGTGCATTGATTTTCGAAAATGACACGTCATACCTCTTAAATCTTTCTCGTACAATAATATTCCCTTGAACCCTTGATAACGGATCTGAATGACGCTTGGATAGCGTTTTTCACGAAATTTCAGGTTCATCTTTTTCACCACTTCTATAATGATGGCTTTAGAAGCGAGGCCACACCCATCAGTAAAGCATAAGCCGTTTCTTTCCACGTCATCGATTACTTTGTAATTTTCGGAGGGTAAATCAAACACCTTTTCACCAGTTGAAAACAATAGACCTATTCTTTTGGATAATTTGCTGACGCTAGTAAAGCTGGACCAGTCACCGAATTTATTGAGGAATTGTTGGATCTCTTGATGCTCCGCCTGAAGCAATAGACATTTATGCTGTTTCATTTGATTATTACTTTGTCCGAGGTAATTATAACGTTTTTCGTTGATGAGGATGCCTTCGGTAAGAATTTTGGTGATATAGGTTGACGAATGTTGTTGATCTTCAAAATATAAATTCCGGAAATCAGCGATTAAAAGCTTTTCGGGATCCACCGCCTCAAGGATTCGGCTGTTTGGCTGAACTTGGTACGTAAATTTGATCTCTGTCGGTGTGAACGCGAGTGCCTTCACCCACGCTTTTCCATTTATTAAAGGAGGAATGTCATTTATTATCAGTTGAATAACTTCGATACTCGAACAATTTGGAAACGTTTGAGTCATTGGTTTCAAATTCGTCACTGAGACAAAAAAAATAATTTTCGTTATAAGTATATGATTGACTCGTTGTAAAGCAAAAGTTTTTAATTTTTTTTTTTTTTTTTTTTTTTTTATTTTCTAGGTTTGATGAACATATTCGGAAACAATAACTCTGACGATCCAGGATGTAAACTTATTTGGATGTTGCCTCCCAATGAGGCAAAATTATTGATCGCGATATGCTTCTTGATAGTGAAATGCGAATTCGGTATGTTTCTTGTTAGACTCAAATTTGATTTCCTGAAACGGTTCTTTTTTTTTTTCAAAATTATACACACCGAATTTAGAAGTTAGATCTTAATCTTTATTTGACAAAAAATAAATTTCGTTCAACAATAAATAAATATATACCGATTAGGGATCATGGTCGGTCCACAATCGGTCAAAGGCCTTTGACCGACCGACCGTTTGACCGATCGTTTACATAAAATAATATCGAATAAATTTTAACAATTTTGGCAAAGTTTTATTTAGCCAAATATTATTTTTTTTTTTTTCAATTTCAAAATTTTTTATCGGTCACGGTAATACCGATTCAGGTTTCTCCGAATTCGGGTTTCACAATTGTCTATCAAGAAACATACATCATTGCTTTTTCCTCACAGAAGTTTCTCAACTACGAACAAACCGGTTTAGTTCTTTGTCTTATGCTTAACTAAATAAAGTTTACATAGGTAAGTTGGTGGTTAGCACAATTATTTTTAAATGATCAACATTATAGGTACAGAATTTGGAAATCGGTACGGTAACGATATCATTTAGTCAGTACCGTACCGATTTTCCATTTACCAATAAACGTAACTAAAATCCAATATATCTCAATGTAAATCACAAAATCACAAATATTTAATTATTGTATATTTTCTTGACAAATTTGATAAAAATCAAAAAATCAAATATTTGTGAATAATGTACTTTTTTGTGAAAAAAAAATTAAAGCTGGCTGCACTTCTTACTTATTTAGGTAAAATATTCTTATATATTTAATTATTACTTTAATTCTTTAATGTAAGTCAACTTCATTCAAACACGGGTTTTTTTCGGATTCAATCAATTATATATATTTATTTTTTTGGTCACGACGATCCATGAAATCCCAAGGGACATTTTTGTTACTTGTCTCGTGACTTGTTGTTTTGCCATTACCTAATAATTGCATAATATTTCTCTCATAAATAGCATGTTTGAACAAAATCGTCAATCATTTTTTCTCATCTGATTTCTTCGTTTGGAATATTATAAAAATGGAATGTAGTCTATGTAAAAAACCCACAAATTCTTGTTGTTCCAGATGTAAAGCTAGGTATTACTGTAGTAAGGAATGTCAAAAGAAAGATTATGTCAATCATGTGCTTGACTGCCCTCCGAGATCTGCGGACGACCTTGTTAAAAGTGCTTATGCCGACCTGGTGCCCACGAAGCCAGCGGTGCTACATGAATATGGCTTTAACAACTGTAAGGATCCTCGGGAAAAATCGATGCTTCTAGGCTTGTATATTGGCCTTATAAAAATTATAGGTTGTAGTGCATCTCAAATTCATTCTTGGTGGGAAAATGGCGAGTTGTCACTTGGCATCAAAAAGGCTTATAATGATGCGGGCGTAACTAGCGGATACTACCAATGGTTCTTAGAAAATGAAAATTTGTTACAGGGTCTGCATAAATATGAAGGCGAAAAATCTGATAAAGCTTTAATGGATAAGTATTATGCAATGGTCAAACCCTATCTTTCTGTACACGATCAATCACTTTCCTTCGAATCTTTTTCAGAACCAAAGCGTAACGTTATTGTTTTATACTTAATAACGCTCATAGGATGTATACCAAGGGTTGAACAACAATGTTGGATTGACTTTGGGTTTAGTTCTTGTAAAGTTGGTAAAGATCACTTAGGAGAAGAAGAAGAAATACGGTTGTCTAAACTGTATCGGAAACTTATCGTTCAAGAGGGCTGCAAGGTCGATGAATTCAATGATGCTTACGTGTCTGGAACAGTAGTGGACTTGTTGAAAAGAAAATGTGGTAGCTGCAGTTGGCTATCAGAAAACAGAATAGAAATTCAAGCACATCATCAGCCAAAAAAGAGCGTCTATTATCTCAAACAATACGTGCTGAGCGAATCCGTAGGTCTCCAAAATTCTGTTTGGGCGGATTATGGCTTTATGAATTGTCGCACGGAAAATGAGATTAGACAATTAAAACAGATGTATAAAAAGTTGATCAAAACTCCTCAATTTGATCCGCGGGATTT